TTTTCTCTCCTTGTTTGCCTCCTGCCTCCTTCAAACCTAAGCCTAAGTCAAGGATTTCAATGGCTTAGAGTAAGGACAGAGGTGGGGAGCTGGTTAGTAGGCTATTGCAATAGTCCTGCCGGGAGAAGGTGATGGTGGCTTGCACCGGGGTGGTTGCAGTGAGTGTGGAAATAAGTGGTTAGGTTCTGCAAGTGTTTTGAAGGAAAAGGCAACATTCTTCTGGAAAACTGGAGAAAAGACAGGAGAGAGGGAGAAGAGACACGGAGCACAGCAGATGGCCTTGCGGTGAGCTCCTTGGGGCCAGTGCAAGAGCTGCTGGTTGAGAATGGGGAGCTGGTCAGGGCCCAGCTGGGACGCCGTAAGCTGGAGCTGTCAAGAGGAGAGCTGTTGTTTGTGTGCTTGTTTGTTGACCGTTCCCATCGCCGTGTGTTTACTTCGGCTAGATAGTGACACATATCTGCGCATGTGAATGTGCAGGGGCCAGGGGACTCCAGGTCGAGGCTACGTGGCCCTCCTGTCCGTCTCCAAACACTTCCTCACAGGGTTTGCGGAGTCCCCGACGTCTCCACGTGAGAATGGCCCACAGCACAGAACACGGAGCCTGGGACATGCGCTCAGGTCTGCTCCGTGGAGTCGTCAGTCCTTCAGGGACAGGACCAGGCCACGCCTTTCTGGGCTCTTCCATGCGCAGCCTGGATGAAGTCCACCGTCCCTCGCTAGTGGGTCCCACTTGGCCTGGTGGGGCTGGGTGTTGCCGGTACCCGGGCCAATGTGCATGTGCTTGTTCCCGAAGGACACAGGACAGTGCACAGATCGCAGGACTCGGACATCTTGCCGAAGGCAGGTGCCAGTGCAGCTCCTGCAAGATGAGTAACTGAAATCTGTTGCAGCCCCGCCGCGGCGCTATATGGAACCTCATCCCCTTTCGTGCACGTGGGGTCCCAGCCGCGCCCACGCCGAATGACGGCCGCTCGGTCCTCTTCCGAACGGTGGCCCGACCCACCTGCGCCCAGCGGGCTCGCGCAGACGTGGCCCCTCCGCCGGCGCCGGGCCTCCGGTCGCAGAGGCCGCAGGACAGCCCAGAGCCTCGGATTTACATCGCAGTTCGCCGCAAAGGTCTCGGGGGACATGCGCGTGGGATCATTAGCACAGCTGAGGTGTTTGAACCGCGACACTAAACGAGGCTAGTGAGGAAGGACAGAGAGAGTTGTTGAGAAAGGAAGGAGTTGCAAGGACTGAGCCCTGGAGCCAGCCAGCCTAGCCGATGGGGACGCAGGAAGACCCACCAAAAGCAACCGAAGTGGGTTACACACTAAGAATATACAGACCTTGTTCTCATTTTCTTTTGGTAGCAATGAGAGGATATGCATGTGAATATCATTCCACTGCCTGCTTTATGTTTCTTTGTATCTCCGAAGTACAACACCCCACTGCCTGCGCACACGCACAGCACATGCGAGTATGGGTGTGTGTCTCTGTGTGTGTGCGTATTCTAATTAAATGGTAGTGCAGAATTTAAACAAATGTAAATTAAATGAAAATATGTATGTTCACATATGTACACTTATGTGAATTGTTTCACCCATGGAAAACTATTAGGAAACCAATTTCCATTTTTTTATGATCTATGACTTGCTATATTATTTACATCCTATAAAATATGTTGTGTCCAAGCAAATCTGTTGTTCTTCGGCTGCTTTTGTCTGATTGATAGTTAATTCGAGTGTTTGGACTCAGTTTGAATTTCAGACCACTATAAAACAGAGTTTAGCTGTATTCTTTTTATCTCAATAATTAAATTATACTCGTAACTCTCCATTTAAGAAGCTGTAACTGTTAAAATATATGACATGTTTAAAGAGTAAAGCACTGAATAGGTAGATGGAATTTATGCATACTTAAAATTATTCTGTGGTGGCGATATTTTTCTTCCCATACCGTACTATTTCATCCTGAGCATCAACACTGGCTTTTCCTGTGGAAAATGAATCTTTCAGCCTCACTAGATGAGGTGCTCAGCATTAAAAGATCTAATCAGGAGAACCCAATGCCTTCTGCACAGCTCTGCTCCAACAGCCTGGCTAGGAGCAGGGCAGGAGTTCTGTTGATAGCTCAGGATGGTGACTGAAGAATGTTTTGGAGGGGAGGAGGGGAATGGATGGGGAGAGTATTGGGAGGGAAACGATGAGAGGATGATGGAGAAACAGAGAGGCAACATCGCTAATGGGAAAGCAACCGAGGCAAAAAGTAGCTTTGTAAAAGGTTTATGAAAATGAGAATAAGTTCTGGATAAGGAGCTTAGGGTAAGATTAGTGAACTTTTATGAGAATCATTGTGTCGCATGATCAAAGGTCAGAGGGGATAAGGGTCCAAACGATGACAGCAGGTGTCTCTGAAGGTGCTCTGCTCTCACCTGCATCAGGATTTCCCTTTGCTATAGATGCTACAACCTCCTGATGCAGAATCTCCTAGCATTGCCAGAAAATCTGCATTAAAAAATATATATGCAATAGGGTAGACCCAGAAACATGGAAGTAGGGTACAGACTCAGAAGAGGAGGTGGTGGGGGGAGGGAAGAGATAAACCACAGAACTTATATACATGCAAGCATAACCAATGGACATAGACAACAAAGCCGGGGATGCGGTGGGGGGATGGGGAGGAGGGTGTCAATGGGGTAAAAAAGGAAAACCATCTGTAACAAAAAAAAAATAAAAAAAAAAAAATACACACACACGCACCCGGACCCTATCCTCACCCCAAGTGAATCTTGTGCCTGCTAAAATGTGAGCCCAGCTGAACTATGGTAGAAGAACCCATGGGAAACAAAACTTGAAATGTATGTGTTAGATTCCAATGGAGAACAGACACGAAGGGAATTTGCAGAGTAAGACATAGGTAGGAAAAGGTCATGAGCGTAGGTAAGGTTCAGGAATAAAGAGCCAGCGTGATATGAGTAAGGAAAGAAGGCAGGGGTGACAGGAGCCAGGAGGAAGGCGCAGGACGGACTGTATGAGAGACCAGGAATGACATCCTCAAAAAGAGGACAGGCCCATGAAGAGAAAACTGGAAGACCACACAGGGGCTGGAGAAGGCTGGCTATCCAAGCAAGAGCTGAGCCGCAGGAAGCCCTTCAGTACTCTAACATGACACCAGAGAGCAAGTTATAATGACAAGAGCAGATCAGTGGGAAGGGGATCGGGCAGCTAGGCACACTGCTTTCTGTGTCAGGTCTGCATTATGTCCTCTCTGTCACAGCTGTCACAGCTGCTGGGCATCAAACAGCATCCCCACCCTGGGGACCCATCAATATCTTTAGATAATCATTATCTTTACAAAAATAACATGGGGTGGTTTGATTTCCTAAAGAGTGTGGTGGATTGAACTTTGTACCAAATCTGAGTACAGATGATTTTTGTTCTATGGTTAGCACACCCCAGCCTAAGGTTGGAAGAGCTGGAAAGAGACAAGAGACATAAACAATTGGCATTGTTTTCTTTCTCCTCCTCACCATTGTTACAGGTCTAGTGCCTGCATTTGCATTAAAATAGATATGATGAGTAGTGAAGGCATGTTTTGTTTTTAAGCTTCTGCTTCTGAAATTTAAGTCATATAGAAAAATGAGAACAAATTCTTGCAAGTGTCATAGATTAGCAATGTGTTTTCTTCATAAATCTATACCCCTTGTTGCCGTCTTGTCCTGTCTTAGGAATACTCCAAGCAACCAAAGACATTCCTTTTAATCATTGTGCAAGAAAAAATTAAATAACTAGCATAATAGTCATTATATGTTTGCAGAAGAATATTGTCTCTCTGAAGAAACTGATAACCATTAGTGTGAAGGGAAGGGAGTATGCTTTCTGGATGGGAGTTTTTCTTATTGGATCCTAAAGTTTCAAAATAAGAAATGGAATGATGGGAATTTTAATAATTGAACTGGTAAATGTAGAGAAAATATTCAATAAATACTCAACATAGTTTGCAAGGTATTATGCAAAGTTGGATGTGAGGGATGTAAGCAACTTTGCACTGGCCATGTGGGTGCACCAACCATGACTTCTCCTTTCTTCCCCTTTTCCTGATGTTTTGTTTTATTCCTTTCCCTGCTGGAATGCCTCCTTCATTTTCCTAAAAACACTGGCCAAAGATTTTTTTCCCTCAATGGAATCCTTATCCCCATCAGGTGCTTGACCAATTCCTAGGAGATGGTAATGAACTCAGCAATCAATTCTAGATTTTTTTTGATAACTTAAATGAAAAACCACAAGGAACAAAAAAAGGTGATACTATAAAAAGGTGATAAAATACTATAATGAAAATTTTCTGCTAGAAATGTTCTTTTTCTATACAGTCAAATTTTCCATATGCCCATATGGCATGAATTTCTCAGCATTAAAATGCACTCCCTTTGCCCCAAGCATCATGGGAGAAGATATAGGTAGTAGTTATTGAACACGTGCTCTGTGTCAAGCACTCCGTTAGGCACTTCCCATGAATGATCACCAATCCAACCCAACTCTTATCATTATAAATAATTATCTGGATAAGTATTCCCACGTTCCTCAGGAAACAGGCTGCCCAAGGCCACTCAACTAGCAAGTGCCAGGGCCAGGATTTATGCTCAGATTTCCCTGAATATCACTCAGTCTTTTCCCTCCGCACTATGTGACCTCAAATTCATTAGAATTAATCCTAATACTAATTTGTTTTGATTGTTAATACATGACATATGTAAACATAAAGATTATTCCTAGTTGTTGAATAAGGACTGGATTTATTTTACCTAGCCTTAAAAAATATCTGGGTCATTTTACCTAAAAAAAACAAAAACAAAAACAAAAACAACTCTTAGGACGTTATAAAAATGTCTTAGAGCAGTTCTTATCTGTTCATAGGAAGGAATGCTATGTGGAGTTATGTTTATTATTTGACGTCTGATAGTAAGGACTGCAGGTTCTTTCTGTTCCGTGTGTCACGTGCCTTTGTCTTTGTTGTTGTAGTACTGGATACCAGTTTATTTACTATTCACCTGAAAACACAGCCAAAGCAAAGGAAGTCCTCAGCAACATCAATCAACTACAACCTCTGATAGCGACCCATGCAGACCTGCTGCTTAATTCTGCAAGCCAGCATTGTCCAGACAGCCTGAAGACTTCTTTAAAGATGCTTTCGGAAAAGGTAAGACCCAAATCATCCCTACAGCGGGGAAAATGAAATCCCCACGTCCACATTGGTGTTGCTTTATGCCCACGTTGCCTTTCAGAGACCTGGAAATGTAAAATAGACCACGTTAGAAAGGGAGCTTCAAAGTGTTGCCACTGGATCACACTGCGTTGGCCTCATTCTCTTTTCACATCTTACTGAACACAAATTTTTATTTTCCTAGTAGGAAATGAAATCTGTTACTGGTTGGTATATACTTTTTCTTTTCCTTGACATCCTTCATTTTCTTTGGTTCATGGTCTTGTCAAATGAATTAAGTTAGAATTTGAAAATTACTTTATTTTCCTCTGGTGATCACCTAATTTTCATGCATACGAAGCTGTACATTTGAAGTGGAATGTCACTTCATTTGAAAGCAGAACTCGGATGTGGATTCTTATCGGTGGCGTGGGTCAATTTCTCTGCCTGCTTCGCTTTCAGCATTATCTACTGGGAGAAGGTTCTAAAGTGTTCCCCAAATACTATTTATAGCTTGAAACGTAGTGGGATCTAATCCTTAGTTTTTCCAAAGGTGACTCGCACCTTATATGCAGAGAGGCCAGGTAGCCTGGCAAAGGCAGATACTCAGCATCAACTTCCATAACCAATTAGGGCAACTGAGTGACACAGAGAGAGAACCAAGGCAGAAAAAGACAAATTGCAGCTTGCTTTTAAATGGAAAACCAGGTGTCCCGGAGTCCCATTCCAGTGCACTCATCCTTAACCTCTGCGTTCTGAGGACACACTGCAGTTTATTATGAGATACTTTCAATAAATATGCCCTTGAAGCAACTGACCAAAGACAGTTCTCATGGTGTTATTTAAAATAAAATAACAGTGTATGTCTTCACATCCCTGAAGAACAGATTCATAAAACCTGGATACCATATATATATCTATATATAGATATAGATATTCAGATATGTTAATTTATAATAATCATAATTCCTCACACTTGTTGAACATTTTAGTTTAAAGTGTACATTATTATATATTTTCTCAGAGGATGCAACTCATATCTGTTTTCATTAAAAATCAGCTCATACCTATTCAGAAAGGTCAAATTAATTGTCTAGTAAATTAGAAAGTAAAAAAAAAAAAACTGAAGCCCAAGACTTGGGGGTCGAGATGCAGCATTCCTTCTATGTCAGATCAGGTCCCTCCATCATGCCAAGAGAGGAAAACATTAAGCCAGGTTTTACAAGTACCAGTCAAATACTGTGCTAGGGGCTTCCTGCCTGATGACATTTTATTTCATCGTGCAGAGGTGGGTACATACTGAGTGTCTAGCTCACCAGCAGAGGCAGCTTCCAGAACGCAGCACAAGGAGGGAGGAAACTGGTATCTTCTGTGTAATATATGTGCTTTGACATTTACATTTTTATAATAAAAAAGAACATTTTTAGACGAACTCTCTAGAAACTTAAGTATTCTGATAGTCAATAAATATGTCTGATAGTCAATAAATGTTGTGGCCAGGAAAAAGGGTTGTGGGGAGAGGAGAGTGTTATACACAGTAAGATAATATAATTTCATTTTGGTTCAGTTCTCTTTGGAATTTCTGGGTAGAGGTGAGGTTTTCTGGATTCTCGAAGCAGAAATGTTAGTAAGTAGCATATCATTGCGGTGATCATAGAGCAGTATTTATATTCTTCCTGTGCACTGGGCAGGGACTTGTCATTTCATAGATCATTTACAACTTGTTGCAGTGATTGGGTGGGGGGACAGAGCATGTATTTTCTCCTCCTTTAATTCAGCATCGCTCTAACTTTTTCCCCTATATTTTTTCTACTGAGTAGACATGCTTCATCTACTAATAAATCTGTCAGCCCTTGAAATTAGGAAGACCTTTTTAAGTTTGCAAGCTATGCATTTTCTTTTTAAGAATGCCTGGCTGGAATTTCAAAGCGTTATCGAAGTGAACAGAGTTGCATAGTCTATGAAGACAATTAGTAGCTCATGGTCTAAAATAAAGTATGATTCATTTCTACCTAGCCATGCTACTGATGGTTCAGACTGCATAGCCCAAGACCGGTCGGTTTTTATTATATATTCATTCATTCATTCATTCATTCATTCATTCACTCACTTTGGTAACTAATGGCCCAATAAACACTTTGTTAAAAAGAAAAAAATAGCCCAGCTGGTATGGCCTAATGGATTGAGCATCATCCCATAGATTGAGAAGTCTCAGTTCGATTCCCAGTCAAGGCACATGCCCGGGTTGCGGGCTTGATCCCCAGTATGGGGTGTGCAGGAGGCAGCCAATCAATGTATCTTACATCCTCTCTCTAAAAAAGTCAATAAAAACATATTTTTAACAAAAAGAATGAATAAAGTGTGATTCACAAATTTAGCACAGAAGATAAATATTTTTAGTACCATCTTAAATTGTAGTATAATTTAATATTAGCTTAAAATATGTTATTTAGCTTAAAGCATGTTATTTTTAAGATCAGGTCTTGCACAGTGCGGATTAGGGAGTAAAAGTCCTTTCTTTGTTGATAGTTCCTTGTTTCTCTTATTGAATCTAAGCTGTTAGAAAAACACATACCTGAGTTGTTTTCTTAGGAACTCATTTCTGTAGGATATTTAATACGTAACGGGAATTGTCTGTTCGTACGTACAGAGAACAGAACTCTAAAGGTTTCGTAGCCTTTGAGTGGCCGGACGTGGCAGAGCCCACTGTGGTGACTGGTGCTGGGGAAGGTTGAAAGGAGCTGTTCAATTATTTTGTCATGAGACGGCATCTCCTCTCAGGAAACCCGTTACACCTGGAGAGGGCCGATGGCTGCATTATCAGTTCAGTATACACTCAGCGTCTGGGTGCTTTTCAGTCTTTGCCTGAGTACTGATCTGCATATGCTAGAGAATCAACTACCCACATCCAGGGAAGTAAACACCAGAAATAAGCAGACCAGACCATTCCTGGTGGTCATACAGGGCTGGGGAAAGCGAGGGGCAGCAGAGAAACCCAGCTTGCTCATGGTTCATGTTCGGAGACTCTCAGAGCAGGCAATATGTGCAGGTCCACAGGCCATGCAGATGATCTCTGTTGCTACTGAGGATCGAGACACAGGAGTAAGGCTCCCCAGGAAAATCCAGTCCTGCTCAATGTCTATTGGTGGACGAAACAAAAAAACACAATTTATAAAAGTAAAATATGTAATGAATTGGTACTATTTGCTAGTCACTCTCCCTGACACCGAGAGCACAACGTGGAGTAAGATTCAGGCCTGTTCTCCCACAGAGGTCAAGGTTCTCCATGGAAGTGGTTATGGTGCTAATGATGATGACGGTTACTGCTAGTTTGGAAGTTTACTAACTGTGATGTGATGTACTATTATAATGTCTTCAATTTTCATTAAGTCTCTGAGGTAGGTATTAAAAAAAAGATTTTTTATCCTCACCTGAGGATATTTTTTTATTGACTTTTAGGAGAAAGGAAGGAAGAGAGAGACACAGAGGTGGGACAGGCATAGATGTGAGAGAGAAACATCAGTCAGTTGCCTCCGTAAGCTCCCCAACCAGAGATCGATCCCGCAACCTAAGTATGTGCCATGACCAGAAATTAAACCCAGAACCTTTGTGGTGTTTGGGATGACGCTCCAACTCACTGAGCCACCCAGCTAGGGCAATGGGTACTCAGATTGTTAACATTTAATCTTCCTAATCCCATGAAGTAGGTCATTTTAATATCCTCATTTTATGCAGTAGAGGAAATTGAGATACAGAAATATATGTAATGAGCCCCAAATCACCCACCTTGTAACTCCGGCTCCAAATTCTGTGAGCTTAACCACTATGGTATATTGTCAAATGCCCCATGTGTGTTAAGATAGACACTGTGTGTAGATTTAGGGGAACACATGGGGAGGTGGGGGTGGGGAGGACATAACTAAAATTTCCCGAGCATAAAATTCGCCTATAAATGTTTTATGTCCTAATGTATACAAACTCAATTAAATTATTATAATACTTTAATTCTTAGTATGTCTTCTGGTGTATAACTGAGTTTGTTGGCTGCCTATTAGTTTATACAAATGTTAGAGAAATTATTTAATCTTGTTATTGGGGTTGGGGGTTCTTGAGTTTCCCAAGATAAAAGTTGAGAGGAAACCCCCGAGAAATTTGCAGACAGATTTTATTAAGGTTTTGCTCGAGCACCAGGGAGGCGGGACAGAGGCGAGGACGGTCCTCTGACTGGCGGGGCTGCTGGGCTTGGCTGCTCTCACAAAGTGGGGACAGCAGGCCTGCAAGAACAGGCCAGCACTTTTGAAAAGGCAGGCTTGTGGAATTTTCCATTTCAGGTCGGTGACTTCGTTTTCTAGCTGCGCCTGCGCTATGGGGGCAAGACGGCAGACTGCTCACTGTCACCACCCCGGGAGGTCATGGAGCAGTCAGCCTTGAGTGGCTGTCCGTGTGGGGCCACGGTTTCGACCTCAGCAAGGAAGCAGGCAGTTGGAAGGGAGGTAAAATCAGCCACCTCTGTGTTTTTGAGTAGGGAAGGGCGAGGCGGTGACAGTCCTGCGTTCAGATTACGGTGTTCCTTCTGGCCGCCTGGGCTTACCTTGGCTTCCTGGTCACCGGCGTTTGGAGATCCCGGGCCCAAGTCCCTATACCGTGTCATTGTGCTGTAGGATCAGAACAAAAGACAAACTGAGTTTCTGTGAATCATTCCAACAGACAAAGCATAGACCATATTTTTAACATAAGATACAAAAGGTTAATGACAGAGTGAAATAAAAGTGCACTTTTCTTTTCCCTAGATTAAAAGTACGCAATGCTATGGACAACAAGAGAGAGAGGGGAAAGTAATATAAAAATTTCAGACAAAAAAGAAGGGCCCAAATGTAGGCAATGCTTAGCTGTGCCCGTACCTCAGATATATGTGTGGCATGAGTTCAAATGCCCATTGCATTCTTTGTTCCACAGAGATCAGCAGACCTTGTTTACAGTCATGATTATCCTGCTAA